CAAATCCTGACATTTTATTTAGAAAAATTATACCCCTTCTTTTCATTATTTCAGTAAACATAATGAGGGCATTGCTAACTACCCCTCCGAGAACTTTCTTTTCTGCATTTTTTTAGTAATCTGAGCCTCCGTGTAATTAAAGGCATGCTACATTAATGATGCCTAGCGCCTCCAAGGGGGACGCTTAATGTCCACCTCATAATATTATGCCAAAATTACACGCACAGAAGACTTCTTAATAATCTTTTGTTTCCTAATTTGGTTTTGATTGGCTCCGAAATCCATCGCCGCACCCAAGGGCCCCCGTTTCTCCAGGCCTCAGCACTTCTGAGCCGTAGACTGCACGGATGCCCATGCCTCCTTCCGCCTGCAGCCCTCCTTTCAAAGCCTCTGTTGAACTTATCCAGGAATGAGCTGCAGGCTGGTCAGTGCAGATCATCCGGCCTGTGTGCTTGTCAGTCACAGGGCTGTGGTGTGCTGCTCTGGCAGCTACATCTGTCCCAGCACAAAGAACAGCTCCGAGTTGTCCCTCAGCTTGGCTCCCAGGTTCAGGCATGCCTTTTGCTCTTTATGCACACAGAAGGAATGGCCACGGCCGGAGGTGCGCCCCCTGAAGCTTGGACGTGGCTCAGAGAAGGCTGTGACCCAGACCAACAGGGTAGCCCAGCCCGAGACAGGACACTCAACCCTCTTCTGCCTTCAGATCCTTCCCCCTGAACAGAAACAGCTATTTTTTAGCCACCACCAACTTAAAAGAAATGTGTAATAGTAAATTAAAAAGAAAATGTATGACCTCAACAGGCACAATTCGTACATATAGGGTGTTCCAAGAAACGATACACATTTTGAATAATCATTCATTCCAATGGGTTAAATCCAAAATGAAAGCAACACCAACTGAGCTATCAGCTGTGAAGTGTGTGTACATTTTGGGGGACACCCTGTATATTCGTTTATACCTCTATCTATGTATATCCCCCTATTCCATTATCCTGAGTAGAAATGGCAGAATTCTACCATAAAAGTAATGTTTAAAATGCTGGTCTTATAAATATACAACAACTTAAAATCACCAGACACCGAAGAGCTATTAAGTAGGTCAGCCAGGCTAATAGGCAGAGATCTGTTGTCCAATAGAATTTGACATGGTCCCTTTCTTCTTAAATGTCCCCTCTAAAGTAAGTGTGGTATTCATGGATGACACAGGACGACGAAGCAAGTGCAAACAGCAGGTGCACAGACCCTTAATGCATTGCCAGTGAACTTGAGCCTCACAGAAAATAAATGGGCCATGGGAACGCTAGGGCACTTCTCTGACCGAACGTCCCCTCGGTGCTCAGCACCGCTGTGGTCACAGCTAATCAGGGTGTCACCGGCTAAGCAGGTGACTGCTGAAACCGTTTTGCAGCAAACATTTGCATATAAGGGCTAAGCGGGCCTGTGCGCAGGTGGCAGGTCCCCTGATGTAATGGGCCATAATGACTCGGAGGGAGCAGGTAGGATGCGTGTGTCAAGGAGGGGAGAGCATGACAGTCGAGACACAAATGACTCCGGAGTCCATCAGACCTGGGGCTAAGGAGCCCTCAGCGGGTCTGAGATGACAGCATCCGGAGGCAGCCTGACCGCCTCGGGGGGGAGCCCAGACCTGTCCAGAGAACGCGTTTCTACACTGGGCCATTGTCACTGGCTTGGCCTACCACAGGCACACACACAGTCCCAAAGTCTGCATTCACAGGATGGGTGATTACATCCGTTATGCCAATCATATGCATATTAAGGAGTCTAAACGCAGCCCCGATGGGTACCGTCTCACACGCCTTGCACTCTCCCTTGGAAATCGATTGGGCTCACTAACAATTGGAAACCCACCAAGGCGTCCATGCAGTGGCACCGAGTGCAATGTGGCCTTTTCAAAAGACTGTCCTGTGGGGTTTCATGTGAGCACACAGAGCACACAGGCGAGTCCAGGGGATGAAGTTCAGGGGCATCATTTGAATTCTGTTTTCCCCTTTGGTCTCCGACATCCCTTAGCCAGTAGGCTGGTAGGCACTGGCTCCTTTAGGGCCATAGACCCGTGGTCGGCAAACTGCAGCTCGCGAGCCACATGCGGCTCTTTGGCCCCTTGAGTGTGGCTCTCCCACAAAATACATGTGGGTGCGCGCGTACAGTGCAATTGAAACTTCGTAGCCCATGCGCAGAAGTCAGTATTTTGTGAAAGAGCCGCATGTGGCTTGTGAGCCGCAGTTTGCCGACCACTGCCGTAGACCATGTCCCGGTGGAAGGCAGGGAGAGAAGTTCTGTAACGCCCCCTTTCCCACCCGTGATGGGGGGAAGGGGCGTGCGGCAGACCCCCAAGCACACCTTTGGGCACAGGGACAGGAACAGGGCTGAGCAGGCATTCTCTGGCCAGAGGCTGAGATGGGGAAGCCGCACATCAAACAACCCACTGGACACATCACTCAGGGCCCATGCAAGTGGAAATACTCTCTGAACAAGGAGATGCGTTATTTTACTGAGATGTGCAAATTCCTGAGCACGTCCAGAAGTGGCATGTTGTTACAAGGGCAGAGTGTTATATTCAGCGCTAGAGTGTTCTTAGTAACATGAAGAGCCTGGCCGGTATGGCTGAGTGGTGGAGAGTCGACCTATGAACCAGGAGGTCACTGTTCTATTCCTGGTCAGGGGTTGTGGGCTCAATCCCCAGAAGGGGGTGTGCAGAAGACGGGTGATCAATGATTCTCTCTCATCATTGATGTTCCTATCTCTCCTTCCCTCACCCTTCCTCTCTCTGAAATCAATAAAAAAAATTATTAAAAAATAAAAAATAATAATATGAAGAACTGGCCCGGAACTCCTCTGTTCTGTAAGGAGTAAAAGATCATACAACCTATTACCTGCATGCCATTTCCCCACAGATTAGTGACCTTTCCTGAGAGATGATTAAAGGCCTTACATAAAGCCCACCACTCGCCTGCCCTTTTCACAGACTTACTGTAGTTTTGCAAATCTGTTTGAATGAACTCCTCTCCTGGTGGCCTCTGGTACCCAAGGGGAGACTTCTTTGCAAAGCGCATGCCTGCCCGCCTCCCAGGGAGCCAGGCCCTCCCTTTGAAATACTTAGTCTTCCTGGGGGACTTTAGTCATCTTGACACCTAATCGCCAAGCTCTTTCTCTCACTCCTCACAGAATCAGGTTTAGGTGATAATTCAAACCAGTCCCCAAAGGCACTTCTGAAAAATGGCAAGCCCTTAGCTTTTAGGTGCAAACACTCTTTATGGCTCATAATCGTGTCCTGTTGCAAAACCTCTTCTCCAGGTGCTAGGTCTGGGATGATCTTATGCTAACCGGGGACTGTTAACAGATGCTCCTTTGATGAATCGTTTCACTCTCCTGAAAATGCCCGGCCAGGTTCCGGATAATAAAGCCAGGTAAGAATACTATTAAAATCTGCCATACGCTTCTATCTGCTCCGTGAAAAATGGGATCGCAGTCCCTGGATGGAATAAGACCACCTATGACACAAAAGCAATGGCCTCCACCGAAGGAACAGGCTGCCTGAATTCCTTAGCACATTCTCGTACATCACTGCCATCACCAAACTCTCCTACTCACACCTTAGAGGTGTGCTGCCAGCAGTGTCCCTGTGAAATTTCAGTATATCACACTCCAGCGTTACCTTTCCCATAGCATTTCCCTTCCCGCCCAGAAAAGGTGTCCTACCCACCATGAAAACAATGAACTCCGTGACTCTGCTTATCCAAACGACAGCCCGGGAGCTCCCCCAGTAGCATGGTTTCATCCAAAGCTGTCAACTTATAATGTTGGCGGAATGTGACTCTTGTTTCTACCAATTAGCCTGCGGGACACCTGGGTTTGTTACACGTTGTGTCTCTTAAAGTCGCAGAACCTAGCAACAAAGTTAAGTGAGGACTTGCTGTACCTTCAGCAAATATATTCCCTACATCCCAACGTCCAACTCTAAAACACCCATGGCAAACCGCAGCCCCTGAAGACAAGGGGCTGCAGGAACTGACAAGTGAGACTCCTCTGACTGGCTTATTTCACTCAGCGTAATACTCTCCGGGTCCATCCATGCTGTTACAAATGGTAAGGTAAGTATCACATGATCTCACTCAGAGGTGGAATCTAATGAACAAAATAAACTGATGATCAAAAATAGACCCAGAGACATAGAAGCATGAACAGACTCTTGAACCTCAGAGGGAAGGCAGGGAGGGTGGGTGGGAAGAGATCAACCACTGAACTTGTATGCATATATGCATAACCCGTGGACACAGGCAATGGGGTGGTGAGGGCCTGAGGGGGAGGGGTGGTGACAGGAGTGGGCTGGAAGAGGTTAATGGGAGAAAAAGGAGGACTTATGTAACACTTTCAACAATAAAAAGGTAATAATAATAATAATAATAATAATAAAAGATGCCGCTGGCAAAGCTCCCACAACACATTAGCCCCTCTCTCTGCCCCTGCTTCTCTTCTCTCTGGTCTCCTAACTAAAGAGTTCCACATCCCAGCAGTTTCCTGAGGAGGAAAACCATGACACCCACTCTAGCCTCGAGTTGTGAAAGCTGGGACTGGCCTGAAGTCCCCACAGGGAGGTACCTCTGTGGTGGAGGGTGGTTTGACCATAGGTTTTCTCTGGACCCTATCGCACCACATACAGCCTGATCAGATCCCCCCTCCAATCCGAAACTCAACTGCAGCTGGATGTGTCCTTTGACAACTTGTGTAGACTGACCTTGTCTCCGTGAAACCTCTGGAAAGCGGAAGGTCAGGTCCAGAGGCTCCAGCACACTGTCACTGGTGGTCCCAGACGGGACTAGCCTGCACTGGGATGCAGCGAGCCTGCTGCCCTAATGGTCCCCCCCGAACAGATCCAGCTTATCAATGGGTTGAGTCTTTGACTCACCACATTGGTAGTCACGCACCACAAGCCCCCACTGACTAGGAAACCTTCTATTCGAAGGGGTGGCCTCACTCACCATTGCGCAGAACGTCTCGGGAGGGTCTCCGCACGTGATGTCGGGAGGGTCCAGCTTCACTTTCAGGTACTTGGTCATGTCCGTGGATTCCGGCTGACAGGCCATGTAATCCCACACTTTGCCTTCTTCCGTGTAGATCTGGGTCTTGCACACATCGTAATGTCCCCACACCAGGGGGTAGGGCTGCATCACCGATGACACTGTAACCCAGAGGGCGTGAATGGACAGGAATCTTGACAAATACATCTCTAAATTCTTGGCAATCTTGGCGGGAATTGGCGTGGGGTTGGCTTATCTGTGGCCTGTGTCTATTTTACACACACATGGATGTCTCCATGTAGGTAGGGCCGGATATAAAAAGAAAAAGAGGATGAGACCTCAAAGTCGATGCCAAAACTGACCGTGAAGGGTTGAGATACTGGGCGCACTCAGGGATCTGGAGGACTTTGGTGGAAAGCTAACATACTGGTGCAGTGGGCTTAACAGCAGCCTGTGGGCTTGTTGTTGTCCTAGAACATATCTACTCGATGGGTTCCAGTTGATTTTTGTAAAAGATGTCTGGTTGCGGATCGTGATTCAGCAAAGGGGTGGCCTTCTGGCTGAGCATCCGATCACCCTTGGAGATCCCAGGTGTTCGCGGCTCACCAGGGCTGCTGGGACACACTCAGGTGTCAATATCGGAAGCAAGAGGGTGAGTGTCTCTCACTGGTGTCTGTGTCCCGTCAATCATTCTCTTCTTCTGGCACCAACACCCCTGTAGAAACAATAATAAGAAGAGTTACTGCTCTTGAATCAATGAATTGCCAACTACAGGAAAGGCTGATAGTTTGGAGGTTGGATGCAACATAAAGCAAATGGGTGGGCTATGGGTCACCTTGACTCAGCTGCTGTGATGAAGTGATCAGACCAGAGAAATCATTCCCACTAGGGGGGGAATTTCAAAAGGAAGGATCAAACTCCTGCATGTCACCAAGACATGTGTGTGATGTGTGTGTGTGTGTGTGTGTGTGTGTGTGTGTGTGTGTGTGTGTTCTGGGGGAGTTACAGGTTTTCGCTTCAAAAACTTTATTTCCATCTTCACCAAACTGAGAGCAAGGAGCTGGCCTGAAGCATGTCTCACATGTGGGAGGGCTAGAAAATCTCCCAGAACAATGGGGGAAATGAGCACTTTTACCACCAAGACATGGAAGCTACCTGTAAGCCTTTTATCTCTTGGCAAAGAGCCCCTAGAAATCTCCCAGTGCCTGCCTGGCAACCCACTTGGGTCCCTCCCTGCAGCATGGAGCTTTGCTGAAAGAAACCTATATTTTCTCTCATATCTTTGTCCATGAACTCATTCTTCCATTTCATGAGACAACAGACTCGGCCCCAAACAGAAATGTTGGATATCATCTTTGGAGGCCCCAGCGAGATCCTACTGAACGAATCCATCAAGCTGCAAGTGGTCATGAAAATGGAACCCCGAATGATAGCCCCTATGGTCTGTGGTCCCCTAGATCGCCCACCTCCGATGGAGCCCTAACAACTGTTGCCATCAACAAGGCCCCTTCCCAGTCAGAAGCAGAGTGGTCCTGGCCCCTCTTCCCTAACAGCAGTTAGGGATTCGTAGCAGAAACCAGTGGGTCAGCCACACCCTGTCCCTTATAAAATTGTGAGAACAAAGGGCCTCCATCCCAGGGTGAACACACAGGGTGGGTAAAATGAGCAGGAACTCAGGAATCCTGAAGTCTAAAATGTATGAATGTTGCTAGGGCCAAATTTTTCGAAACAACTAATGGGAAGTTAGCAGGGCACATATTGACCCCTAGACAAAAGAACTGTTCCAGCAACTTGTGTGGGTCCCCTCCCTGTAGCAGGGAGCTTTTCTGTAATAAACCTTTACTTTCACTCAAAGGGAAAAAAAAATATTATACACACACACACACACACACACACATATATATACACACACACATACATTCATATATATCAATTGCTTGTACATTTCTCAGCTTTTGTGAGCTGGAGTGAAAACTGGCTTTGTTCACACTAGCCTGTCCCTTTAGAGATGCCCATGAGGTTGGGAGAATTTAGCATCTTTTTGTTCAGTTGCATTTAGTCATAAAGATAATAACTCTGAAAAAAAAAAGACTCAAAATAAAACCAAAGGAGAAAATTTTCCTTTCCTCAGAATTCTCTATTCTCTCGCATCTTTTTACAGACATGACATCCGCATCTGTAGTTACTTTCTGCGACAGAAGAGAATTTGTCCCAAAGGCGAATATTATACGCTGCTTTGAAACAAAAAGCTTGGTAGTAAAACGCGCAATTTAAAATGCACATTTAAAAATAGCTGAGGGTGACTTAACAGGCCGTGAAGCAGAATAATATGGCACTAATTCTAAGAGGAAATAAAAATGACTGTTGCAAAATACTCTTGCTTAACTGATCATGCAGCCTCCATAGCTATGGGTATAAGTCAGGGGTGGGCAAACTTTTTGACTCGAGGGCCACAATGGGTTCTTAAACTGGACCGGAGGGCCGGAACAAAAGCATGGATGGAGTGTTTGTGTGAACTAATATAAATTCAAAGTAAACATCATTACATAAAAGGGTACGGTCTTTTTTTTCAATAGTTTTATTCATTTCACGGGGCCGTATCCGGCGCGCAGCCAATAGTATGCCTACGGTTGCACTATCCCCTTCGAAATGCCAGCAGATGGCTGAATTGTGTTTGCATAGCAAAGTAATTTATAATAATTGCTTTATGGATGCAAGCACCATTTTCATTATATCCCATTCATAAAATGTTATCATACAGCTGCAAATTGTGATATTTCCTATTAGGAAAAGTTGAACAGTGGAGTTCCTGGGAAGCAATAATTAGCAGTTTGTCTAAGCATGGATCAACTACCCATTTGAATCTGCCTCCTCCTTGTAACGGAAAGACTACACTGTGTGTTGAGCACAATTGTGAATCTTAAGCTAAAAAGGAAAACTTCCCCGAGGAGCATGTGATGTGGCTACTACAGTTTTCTATTTGGTGTGTGTGTGTGTCACATTCACTAGTAGATGTGAAGTTGATATTTTCAGAAACATCCACCACTGTGACAGTAATGATCTGAAGAGGTGTTAAAATAGGATAAATGCACATTTTCCAGATGATGTTTCAACAGTGTTTATGATAACCAGAACCAACACTTTCATGGTGTATGTGTGGAGAGTGTTACAACGGAAGCACTACGGCATAAAATCAACTCGACCAGAAATTCACTGCAATTATTAGTGTCAAATGCACAGCAACTTATTTATCAAGGACCATATGTTCTTGAAAACCTGACCTGGGTGGCAATGACTCTGAAGTGACTAAGCACTAGGAGCTAACTCTTAATATTCTTTCAAAAATATGACCCCACCAAAATAAAAAAAGGGGTGGGGGACATATGTAATACTTTCAACAATAAAGATTAAAAAAAATTATGACCCCAAGTACATATTTGAATTCTCCCTGAGGCTACTGCACTTTTTTTTTAAACCAATGGAAGTTACCCCCCGAAACCACTTCTTCTGGATTGCTGTCTTTATCCACATGTGGCCCTCCCGCCACCACAAAATAAAGGGTGACTGTATACAGCAGTGATGGCGAACCTATGACACGCGTGTCAGAGGTGACACGCGAACTCATTGTTTTTGGTTGCTTTTTCTTTGTTAAGTGGCATTTCAATATATAAAATAAATATCAAAAATAGAAGTCTTTGTTTTACTATGGTTGCAAAGATCAAAAAATTTCTATATGTGGCACGGCACCAGAGTTAAGTTAGGGTTTTTCAAAATGCTGACACGCCGAGCTCAAAAGGTTCGCCATCACTGGTATGCAGGCACATGGGAAATGTGGACACGAAGGAAATGTATGTGAACCTATTTCTATTTCCTGACGCCACAGCCATCCACTGCGACGGACTCTCATTAAACTCTACGGGAATAATAATGATGGTCATTACACAGAATTATGGACTAGACCATTGATCGGATTTAGAGAACTGACAAGGGAAAATGCAGAGGAGTGCAAGATATTTGAACACGAGGCCCTCTCGGCCTGTGCGACAGCCGTCCCTGACAAGAGGCAGCCAATTATAGCTTCCATTTCTGGCACATAACCAGTTGTGATTAATAGTTTTCCATTCCATTACAGACGTACTATTAATGTATTAAAAATGTCAGGCCTTGGCAAGCACTAATATGGCATGGCCCGGGCAGGCTGCGGATTTACATTTAATGAGCTCCCATTGACATGGAGAGGAATACCAGCCACGGCAGGGTATAGGTCAGGAGGGGAGGGTCGCCAGAATTCTTTGATTCCATCCTCATTTTCTAGATGTGAACATGCCTCACCCAGCACGCATCCTTCATATTAGGGTTCTCTTAGTTCAGTGGTTCTCAACCTTCTGGCCCTTTAAATACAGTTCCTCATGTTGTGACCCAACCATAAAATTATTTTCACTGCTAGTTCATAACTGTAATGTTGCTACTGTGATGAATCGTCATGTAAATATCTGATATGCAGGATGGTCTTAGGCGACCCCTGTGAAAGGGTCATTCGACCGCCCAAGGGGTCGCGACCCACAGGTTGAGAACCGCTGCCTTAGTTGCTGGTGCAACATACACAGGTGCAAAATCCTCTTAATATAAGATGAATAGGAAATCAAAGCTATGAACTTTCATGGCACACAGAAACCTCCGTCAACATCAGGAATTCTGTATTAGTTGTGGAGTTTTCAAAGAAAATAAAACCATGTGAAAACATTGCTTTTATGAGAATTCTACCACTGAACCACCAATGCGCGCAGAAAACATTGCTTTTAACGTCTACTATTACCTGATGGCACTAGTCCCCATCTGGCTTGCAAGCAGGTTAAAATCACCAATAGCTCCTTAAAAGCTAGGTCATGGCAGCAAATGGCTAGGCAACCCGATTAGAAGGGCAGTCAATGACATCTTTGGGAATTTAATGATCTAAAAGAACCTCTTCTGGCCTAGGACGGAACTGCTTGCTACCTGATGTGGGCTTTGGATGTGTCCCAGGTGTGCACATCACCTCACTCCCAGCAGCTCCAGAAGCACCCTGGGCAGCCCCTATTCTAGCTCTTGACTTTGCAAACCTTGGGAACTCACCACGAATCCAATAATGCCAGCTTCTCTCTACCTGGGCACTGAGAAGTCCTCTCGGATAAAAATGCCCATTAACATGCTGGGAGCTCTCCCTGGCTCTCTGACTGGTATATAAATGTGCAGCGCCCACATAAAAATGTAAAATTGTGTCATGCCCTCAAGTTGATGGGTGCTATTGATCTGGACTAAAACAGCCTGTCACATGGCCTCACACACATGGAACGTGATCTTTCTCCAGGATTCTGTAGCTAATCCCCCTCCTCCTCCTTGGCTCAACTTTCCCCGGGGTAGTTCCTGGGCCCTCTCTTGCCACAGAAAAGGAGCCTTCCCCAAAGGCAACATGCAGGTAACGAAGACCAAAACGATGGGCAGTTACAGTCCAAAACCAATCGCCAATTTCACCAACGGAGAGGGAAATACTGCGAGTGAATCCACAGACTCTAGCTGGCTTTCCCCACTCGTTCTGTTATATAATCTCCCCCAGAGGTGGGGGTGTTGGTAGTAGGCTATTTATGCCACAAATACTCAGCTCTTGGGGCACCTGAAATAGGCAGCGATTGACTCATTCCTCATAGACGTGAAGGATTTTATAAATACACTTGCT